AGCTCTGGCTTACGCAAGTGTTCCGAACAGTCGATACACGAATGTCAAAAAGTGGGCTGTTGTAACCTAGGAAGGGTTACTTAATGAAAAATAACCAAAACGGAGGTTGAAAATTAAATATAACATCAACAAAATACAATACTCGCCAGCGGTGTGATGTAGGTAAACCACTGGTAGTACTTAGACTCCCAACTTACAATAGAGTCCAAGGTATTTATGAGGATTGGGACATACCCATTAGTATTCATAGGTAAGGTATATAACATAGGCATAGATATACAAAAATTAGATCCAATTTGCACGAAAGTCAAATAGCAGATATAGGTCCGTTTTACACGAGTTAAAAAGTAGGTATAGGTCCGGGTTAAATGAGAGTCAAATAGTGTATATAGGTCCGGTTTACAGGAGAGTCTCAAAAAGTAGATCAGGTTTATCTGTGTTTCAAAAAGCAAAGATAGCTTCGAAATTTACAAGCAGTTGATCTGGCTTACAAGTTCAAAGTGGTTTGATTTGCAGGAGAATTAAAAAGAAAGACACAGTTCAATTTAATAATGAGTGAAAATGGTGGCCCTTCGTCTGCGAATTTGAGAGGGAAGGATTTAAGAAACCTAGAGATGAATTGAATTGCGAGAGGAATATACGGAAGAAAATGACTGACGCTAAATCATTCTTCATTATTCGGCTGAAAAGTTCTCAACAATAGTCATGTACTGAGATTGCGTGCCTGTGTTTAGATTCATGCGTAATACGCGTGTTTGTGTGCATGTGTGTACATCTTTACTTTTGTATGTGCGTGCCTGTATAAGTGGGTGTGTATGTATAAGCGCGTGTGGGCGTGTATCTATGAAAATATTAGCCAGGCCCGATAGCCTTTATAGTGGAGACAGCGCCCGGGTATACATCAAAGAATTTAAAAATGAAAAGAATGTAATAAAATTTTAATTAATTTTCGATGAAATTAGAAAAGGAATTCATGTTCTAAAGACATCTACAAATTATAAAATGATTCAAATCGGAGACACACACACACAAAATATATATATATATATATATATATATATATATATATATATATATATATATATATATATATATATATATATATACTAGTGTAATACCAAGTTTGTCCAATTGTTAGATTACGCTCTGGAACATTGTATCTCATAAATGATTAAAATTATCTTACTGGAATTCAGTGAGGTTTTTTTTAACGCTATTGGCTTCTACTTTGAGGAAGAAAAATGTAGAATTACTCTCCAAGCTTAACAGAAGAATTGGGATAAACTTGATCATAAACGAAAATGACATGTTCATCATTAATTAATCATAGCTAAGGATCGGAAGCTCATGAAGGATTGAAATAAAGTTTATATATATATATATATATATATATATATATATATATATATATATATATATATATATGACTTCAGGTTCATTTTCAAACATTTTCAAGATGATCTTAGCCCTCTCTAAACTTCTAACTTTCTGTCCTGGGGTAACACGGTGCCTCACACGTTTCACATACGATTTCATTTTTCTTTTGTCACTTCTCCTTGGACTGTCAATGTCTAAAACGTCTCTCTCACGTGCCTAACGTCTTAAGAATTGAGTTGGATCTTTTCTATTTGATCTCTTTAAATCTAAATTGAAATGATGATCCCACGTCATGTTGTGACCCCCTGGTTCAGTTTTTCTCTGTACTGTTCCCTCTTTTTTTAAACTTATTCACCGTTTTCTTTACTGTCCTTGGCTGGACTTTGAAGATGGAAGCCAGAGTACGAATGTTGGTACCATCAGTGAAGGCCTGAATGATATTTTTAGCTTCATCATTGGTCAGTTGGGAAGACAGTAGGGCTGACCCGAAACAATTTCAACCTGTTCTCTTTCTAGTTGAATAACTCAAAGGGTTGTTTATTGAAAATGGTGTCAAGATGGCCAAACGACTTATCCGAAAATCTGGAAAAGGGGACGCTCAGTTTAATGTTTGTTTTTTTTTTTTTAGTTTTCAGATATTATACATTTTGTGGGATGGATAATTAAGCAGTTACACGATCTGGACAATTTTGATGTTACACCCGGTATATATGAGATAAAGAGAGAGAATAAGAGAAATACTGACCTTAATCAACAAATACTTTAATGAAATAAAAATATGTAGATATACGTAAGTATACGTAGATATAATAGGAAAGGGAGGAAGTATTATATGATGAGTTGGACAGAGAAAGGAGTTTCGAGTCTAGCAGAAACTGGCTGCTTTAATTTTTTTTAAAATGTGTTTTGTTCATTAATTCTGATTGGAAGACTTCAACCTAACAGACAGACATTAACAGACATTAACAGACAGACATTAACGGTTTTAATATAAACAAACAAAAACAATATAAAACAGAGATTCTGATCTGACGACATTTACCGAACTACCTGCGAAAGTGAAACACATTGTCTAAAAATGACTTACTTTACTGTACCTCTCCCCTCTATCACACAAACCCACAACTATATATATATATATATATATATATATATATATATAAAAAATTCATGAATCATTCATACAAACAACAAATATAGAGGTTAATGATTTAAATGGCGAGAATACATCGTCGCAAACACATAATTAAGATACACCAACCCCGAACCTGTATATGAATGATATGATCCCTGTTTATAAATTCCAGTTGCATAAGGTCTTTTTAATTTTTTACAAGCTTTCGTCTGTTCCTACAGACATCATCAGGTATGGAAGTAGATTTTGTTCTTGTTTTTACTTCTCAGTAATAAGAGGACAACGAAAATAGAGATGTAATCCGAAAAAATGCTATGAGAAATGTGTTATTGTTTTGGAACGTGCGGTCGCAACGCTGAGTTTGAATTTAAATTTTAAGGTTGTGCGTTTTTGTACAAATATAGCAATAAGAGAATTCTTTTTTACTGGTAGATTTTCCGTGAATATGGCATGAACTATATTGTTCAATAATTACAGTAATGTCACACTTATTATCCGAGAGTTGCACGTTGGATCAGTTATTTTAATTTCAATTTAAAGATGCAAATATAATTTATAAATTCATGAATCATTCATACAAATCTACCAGTAAAAAAAGAATTCTCTTATTGCTATATTTTTGACATTACATTTGAATAGCTGGAGATTATAGCTCTCAGGGAAACTGGAATAGGGAATGAAGTTCCACAAGCGAGAGGTGCGAGATATGAAGCTATTGGAGTAGAAAGACGGCTACATTTAGGAGTGACAGTGAAAGGGTGAGAGCGGGATGCCAGCCTCGTCCGTCGCTTGAACTCCTCGGAGCAATTGCCATGAAAGTATTTGTAAAAAAAGGAGAGTCACTGTAGACGAGATGCCAGAACAGGGCCAATTATATTGCATATCCACCTCTGGAGCCTATATATATATATATATATATATATATATATATATGTGTGTGTGTGTGTGTGTGTGTGTGTGTGTGTGTGTGTGTGTGTGTGTGGAAGGCATGACTTACTTAGGAAGCGGAAAAATAACAACAAAACTTGATCTTTGGCTGATGGAAATTCAAAGGAGTACTGCATTTCGAACTCAAAACTGTAAGCAAATCTGCACTGCCAGCAGCTACACTGCCTATATGACAAACTAAAGGAGTGCTTCGATTTGGCTATCAGCAAGAAAATGCGAGACCAGGTTGACTAAAAGGTTAAAACAGATGTACGGTGTTGAGATTCTTCCACATCCACCATTCAGTCCCGATGCTGGTCATATGCCGCTCAATGGCGCACTTCCTCCACGACTAGCGATTCAACACTTTTGATGAAGTGAATGGAACTTGTTTCTATTTTTCTTATTATTATTCAAAAGCCGTGGGATTGTTACCTGGGACAGATTCCGATGCTAGCAGAAGATGCTCAAGAATGATGGAATTTATTTTGAAGAATAAATTTCTAAATTTTCCTGAGTCAGGACTTTCTGGCCAACTCAGTATACACACACAGATATATATATATATATATATATATATATATATAAGGGAGAGATTATTGTAGTTCCTGGAGAAAAAAGTGTGTATATTAAAAAAGAGAAACCGCAAACGTTTCTCGTTGGAATGTGGATTTAAAAAAAAATATTATGCTTTATTTTCCATAATTTTGCTACACGTGTTGTTTTCGGTCTCGCAACCGTCAACAGGCAAATGGTGGAGATTTCCACATATTATTAATAATAATTAATTTTTCTTTATTTTTTTCGATGTTAAATATTGTCGATATTATACATTCTCTTTATTTGTTTTAGTGATCCGAACGTCTTTCTTGAACTGGCAGTGAAAAGTTCTGCGTGAAGGGTTATAAAACAATTAAGATTGGTTCGAGAAATAATGGAGTAGGTATCGGCATGCTTATCTTTTAATGACCCCTCTGTGTTCTTAGATCTATTTCCGTATTATGGCTGTGAAAGAGAAAAAAAACTTATGAATAAATAAACATTTTTATACTTGTAAATTCGAAAATAATTTGTTTTAAAAAAAAAGGTTTATGTAACTGAGTTGATTATCTTTTAAAATCTAAATGACTGGCCCAAAATGAATAGACTATTCCCTATCGTATGTCCGTAAGAATAATTTCTTGGACGAAGAAAGAATTCCTTGAAGACAGAATTGATTCTATTCACTAACACAGGCTTTCTTTGGAACTAACACAACACATCGAACCTTTGTTATTACATTATCATTTAAATGACTTAAGTAACGTAGATAAAAATTCAAACTCAATCAAATTATTATCCTTAACTCTTTACGTATATGATTTATTTGCTGTATTTATTTGCTGTATTTATTTGCTGTATTTATGAATGTGTGACTACACTGTTTAATGGTAGTGTCATTCCTTTGCATCGATATTGAATACGTGGCTCAAAAGTAGCCTCTTTATTTACGACGTGGCTCGAAATTCCTTATCATTGTCTCTGGTTGAATTTCTGGATTCCGTGAATTGAAAGCAGGAACATGGCCGAAAACGTGTTGATTCGATTTCTTCGTGTTTTCCTTGGTCCGCACGAAAACTCAGTATTTCATTCTGAGGCGTGAAAAGACAACAAAAGTCCAGAACCAACGGAAAAGTGAAAAGATCTAGGTATTTCACTCAAAAGTGTAAACTGCTAACGAATTCAAACGAGGCTTTCCTCTCCCATACGAGAATTCATCCTCTAAACGAGAAGTGGCACTAACAAATTGGCTTTCTCGTTTTCCTTCTTAGTTTTTGTTTGGATTTTTTTCTTTTTTTACTTTTCGTTTTGCTATCACTTTATTTTATTTTTATTTAACTTGCTCTCTCACTGTATCTGACTTTCTATCACTCTCCTTCCCTTTCTCTCTTTCTCTATCTGTCTTTATTTCTCTTTCACTTTCTCTTTCTCTATCTTTCTCTCTTATTCTCTCTCTCTCTCTCTCTCTGTATTTCTCTCTCTCATTCTTTCTCATTCTCTCTCTTTCTCTATCTGTCATTCTCTATACATATCTGACTTTCTCTCTGTCTTTCTCTTTATCTCCTTATCTGTCTTTCACTCTCCCTTTCTATTTCTCTCTCTCTCTCTGTATCAGTCTTTTCTCTCTCTCTCTCTCTCTCTCTCTCTCTCTGTCTTGCTTTTTACGTCTCTGTCTTTCTCTTTCTCTCTCTCTGTCTAACTTTCTCTATCTTTCTCTTTCATTCTCTATTTGTCTTTTTCTGTCTTTCTCTTTCTCTCTCTGTATTTCTCTTTCTCTGTCTGTCCTTCTACCTCTTTTTCTCTTTTCTCTCTATTTCTATCTATCTATCTATCTATCTATCCTTCTCCCTCTCTTTTTCGCTCTCTCTCTCTCTTTCTCTTTCTTTCTCTGTTTCTCTTTCTCTATCTGTCCTTCTCCCTCTCGTTCTATTTCTCTATTTCTCTCTCTCTCTCTCTCTCTCTCTCTCTCTCTCTCTCTCTCTCTGTGTGTGTGTTTTCTCACTCATTAACATTCTATTCCCATTGTACACACATACACGCGAGGGTGCGCACGCGCATACTTGCACTTTCCCTTCTGCACATACACTGGGGTTCATCGGCAGCTTTTATTTCTTTTTTTAGTTTATCCCCCCGCATCACCCCCCCACACACACACACCCTCTCTCTCTCTTTCTCTCTCAATGTATCCTTCTCTCTCTTTCTCTCAACTCTGAATTTTTCGTCCCAATCACGCCAGACGTCACTCACGATATATTTCCTTTTCATCATCCATCTCACTTCCTTTTAACTTTGCCTCTCACTGTTTCCCCTCTCTCTTTCAATTACTAATCTCCATATGTTTCCTTCCTCTCTATTTACATATCTCTCTCTCTCTCTCTCTCTCTCTTTGCATTTCTGATTTCTCTTTCATTTTCATTAATTCTCGCGTCTCCTCTTTCTTTTACATTCCATCACTCTGTCTCTTTTTACATTCTCCCATTCACTGTTCCGCTCTCATACATTTCCTCACTGTCAGCCTCTCTTGTAGATTCATTCACTGCCTCTTCTTTTTTGCATAATCTAGTTCTCACTTTTGAATTCTCTCATCACCTCTCTCTTTCTCTCTCACTGTCTTGCATTTTCTCATTATCCACCTTGCTTGCATTCTTTCACTATCGCTTTCTCCCTCTCTCTTTTGCATTCTCACATAGTATTACTCTCTCACACTTTCGTGCATTTTCTTACTGCCTCTATCACTCTTTTACCATCTCTCACTCTCTTTTTCTCTTTCTCTGACATTCTCTCAATGTCCCTTTCTGTCTCTCTTTTGCATTCTCCAACTCTCCCTTTCTGTCTCCTCTCTCTCTCTCTCTCTCTCTCTCTCTCTCTCTCTCTCTCTCTATGTATCTATATGTCTATCACTCATTGTCTCCTTTTTTCATGTTATCTCGCATCCTCCCTGACTCTATCGCAGTCTTGCATTCACACTCTTTCTTTTACATTCTCATACTCTCTCTTTTACACATTTTGTCCCATACACTGCGTTTCCCTTTGAAATTTTCTGACGCATACTCTCTCGTTTTCACAATGTTTCACGTACACACACCCTCTCTCTCTTTTCCACAATGTCTCACACACAACATTTGTCCTTTACACTGTCTCAGACACATGCACACACACACACAATTTCTCACTTTCATATCTTCTCAAACACGCACTCACTTTTCTCCACATTGCCTCATATACTCTCCCTTTTTCACACGGCCCTTCTCTCTCTCTCTCTCTCTCTCTCTCTCTCACACACACACACACACACACACACACACACACACTTTTCGGTTGAGCTTCTCCGAATATATCATATAACTCTTTTCTAATATCACTTTTTCATGTTTTGTTTCCATGTATTTGTCTCACTTCCTATTCCTGTTCTCAGAATCAATCTATCTATCTATCTATCTATCTATCTATCTATCTATCTATCTATCTATCCCAGTCTGTTTCTATCTATCTATCTATCTATCTATCTATCTATCTATCTATCTATCTATCCCAGTCTGGTTTTATCTATCTATCTATCTATCTATCTATCTATCTATCTATCTATACCAGTCTGGTTTTATCTATCTATCTATCTATCTATCATCTATCTCTATCTATCCAGTCTGGTTTTATCTATCTTCTATCTATCTTCCTTTCTTGACTTCTCTTCCTTTCACGTTGACTTTTTCTGCCAATTAACGCCCCTAGAATTTATTCACAGATCTTTTCTTTTTTTCTGTGTCATGCCCCTTCGAGACATAGGTAATCAGAGTTGTCCACAACTTTCTGTCTCGTAGCAGGTTTTCTCCCATTCCTAAGGCACACGTCCCCTGTTCTGCTATCCATTCACACAATCTCGTCTTTTTTTGCTTCTCGTTGCTTTCCGCTGTCTCTATTTCCCTCAATGTATCTTGTGAGGGTTGAATCTTCCAAGCATTCCTTCCTCGGTATGTGCCCTGTATTTCATCCGCATTATGTGTTAGAATATCAACTGCCTCTTCCTGATTTTGAAGATAAATATTTTTCTGTAAGCATTTTCAAGACTTCATTGTTGCTTATTCGCTCCGTCCATGGTACTCTCATTATCCTTCTGTAGAACAACATTTCTGCTGATTTTAGTCTCTTCCTCATCCGTGAGGAGATTGTGCGGCATTCATTGCCATATGAGAAGACAGGTACCACATAGCAATCTTTCGTTAGACCAATGCATATTGTGATTTCGGTGTCGCCTTTCCTATCGTCATATCCCAGATATTTGAACTTCTGCACCGGCTTGATATTTATGTATCCAATTCATAATACGCATCTTGGTCTTTTTCTCTAACGACCATGCTTTTTGTCTTCTTGTAGTTTTTAGTTCTCTCTCTCTCTCTCTCTTTCTTCTACCACCCTGTCTTGGAGGTCATGTAGTTTCTTTTCGAATCGGCCATCAACACAGTGTCATCTGCGTATGATATATTCTTACTAGTGTACCAGTACCGTCAAAATTGACGGCAAGAAGGAATTTATTTTAAGTAATATGTATTATATTGTAAGTAATTTTCGTTAAATCAAGGTACAATTTTGTAATTTAAAATAGTTCGTTGTTAACGTTAATAATCGAACAGTGAACAATTTATAGACACCCAAGGAAAGACATGCGTATATTATTATCGTAAATGTTACATATTTACAACCAAAATTATGTCTACTACAAAAGTTCCCAAAGCACTATACCTTTGTGTAAACTTTGGAAGGTCTGAGTAATCACTGACAATCCGTAGATTCAAACTGTAATGTTAGAGTCTAATTATTTCTCGCTCTATTAAGAGCAACGTAACATCATATATATATATATATATATATATATATATATATATATATATATATATATATATATATGTGTGTGTGTGTGTGTGTGTGTGTGTGTGTGTGTGTGTGTGTGTGTGTGTGTGTGTGTGAAAATATATAAAAAAAATAGGAAGGAACTGGTTAGGTAAATAATCCAAAGTCCCTTAGTATTTTAGTTATTATTTTTTAAAAATAGTGCTCGATACAAAAGTAGAGCATAAATATAATTATTTATTTAAAAATATGATTCCATTTTTAAATAAATAATTATATATATATATATATATATATATATATATATATATATATATATATATATATATGTCCAGGTGTAGAAGGAAAATTATCCATTTATTAGATTACGCTTTGAACCGTTCTATCTTAGAAATGTTCTACTGGAATTCTCCGAGATTCCTATAACACTACTGGACTCTACTTTGAGAAATAAGAATGTATAATTACTCTCCAAGCTTAACAGAAGAATCGTGATGAAATCTATTATAAACAAAATAGATATTTTCATCATTAATTACTCATAGCTAAAGACCGGAAGCTCATGAAGGATTGAGATTAAGTTCAAATATATATATATATATATATATATATAAATAATTCTAGGATCACTTTTCAACTTATTCAAGATGATTTTCGCCCTCTCTAACCTTCTAACTTTCTGTCCTGATGTCCTGGAGTAACAGGGAGCCTTACGTTTCACGTACAATTTCATTTTCAAGTCTTTTTTCACTGCTATTTAAACTACCGTAGCTGAAATTCTTTTCTCACGTGTCAAAATTATTATGGATTGAGTTGCAACTTTTCTAATTGATCTCTTTAACTTTAAGTTGAAATGATGATCCCTCTTCACGCTGTCACCTCCTGATCCAGTATTCCTCTGTAATGTTCCCTTTTTTCAAAAACTTATTTACAGTTCTGTCGATGTTTCTTCAATGAACTTTAAAGAGAGAAGCTACAATATGAATGTTGGTACCATTACTGAAGGTATAAATGAACTTATTTTCCTCCCACCATTGCTCAAATGAGAAGACGGGGGTATGACACAAAACTATTTTAATCTGTTCTCTTTCTAGCTGAATGACTCAAAGTGTTATTCAGTAATTCTTACGGCAAATGGTGTCACAATGGCTGAAAACCTGGAAAAAGAAATATATATATATATATATATATATATATATATATATATATATATATATATATATAATAATCTAAAATCAATCTAAAAACTGCAAACTCTGGTGGAAAAAATAGCTGTAATTACCTTCCCAGATAAAAACTATCTACTGAATAAACTATCAGAACACATTTCAAAATGCAGACACGAATCCAAATAAATAAAGTAAATAATAAAGATATTGGCAAACCATCCCCGCCAAAATAACCGCTAATAGATGCAGTAGATGCAATAGACTACCGATAATGCATCACTGAGACTATATAAAAATAGTCGAGGAAAAAAACACAACACATGTGGCCTGACGATTACGTTTAGCATGAAACAGTCCATCACCTTTTTCAATGTACACTATATATATATATATATATATATATATATATATATATATATATATATATATATATATATATTGAGAGAGGGAAAGATGTAATAATTAAAATCAAATGCAAAACGGCGGGATGCATTTTTTTTTTTTTGAAAACGGGAACAGCCCAACATGCAATTTACAAACTGGAGATACCAAAATCAAACAAGGGCGCCAATTTAACTATCTGGGAAGTGTTTTAAAAGAAAACAGCAACTACCGTCTAATAAGAAACAGATAAACGTCGTTAGAAACAAAGAAAATAGTACTGAACTCTTACGTAATATTAGTCCTCTCACAAGACAATGAATGCTGGACAATCTCCTCACAGAAGAATTGAAGCAACAGAAATGTGTTTCTACAGAAGGATGCTGAGGATAACATGGACCGAACATATGGGCAGCGACGTAGTTTTAAAGAAAATGTAAACATAAAGAACACTTATATTTAACATCAGACAGAAACCGTTGAAATATCTAGGATACATCATGAGAAAAGAAGGCTTGGAAAATTTGATATTCACATGACAGATCAAGGCAAGAGAGACAGTGGAAAGCAATGGAATAGGTTGTTCTAGTTCCACGTGCCATGTCTAATGGATGTCAGTTATCAGTTATCTCTCGTTAATTACCCTCTCCAAGTTCTCCTCTGCCTTAACCAGGTATTGAACTCACACTCTTTGGGCCCTGTCACTGAATCTAACTAACGCCTTTATGCACTGTGCCATGTGTGTATGAATTTCTGTGTATTATAAACCTAATGTCTTCAGCAACCATTTTTTTTTACCAGTGCTTATATTGCAATTTTTTCTGTTATCATTACATGTTTTTTTTACCAGAGCTCATATTGCAATTGTTGTTGTTATTATAGCTTTTCTCTGGCACTCTTTATTACTGGTTCCCATATTGTATTCATTTCTATGCTTAGTCGGCTCAGGAGATTTTTGTAGCCTAGCATATGTGCTGATTCCTTAAGTTTAAACAGTCTACCCCATTGAGCGAAATAAAGGGTTCAGTTCGACATTCTAACCACCTGAAGAAGGCCGGAGCGTACAACGGCCGAAACTTTGTGATGAATATGGCGATAAAGTTGAGGACAATAGTCCGAATAATGTAAATAGTGTAAAAGGATAGGTATTTATGAGGCGCCTTGATTGTACACGTTCTGAACGGACATTTCACGGCTCATTAAAGGAGGAAATGTAATCATTATGTTGAAGTAAAGTTTCGATCTATTTGTTGAACAAGTCCTACCCATGATATCCTCAGTCCTGACTGTCATAGTGATATTATCGCCTTGCTTGGGATGAAGTTATTGAAAAAAACAAACGGGATCAGTTAACATTAATAAGTGATAAAAGTACCTTTTTCTGTTTATATATTTTTTTTCAAGATTTGATTACTTTTCAACTGTATCGTTTTGATATTTGAGGAACAATGGCGAATTCGTTACAGATTTCAGGCGTTCGTGTTGAGTTCAATGTCATTATTATTTAAATGATAACTTTTCAAAAGATTGTATGCTTTACGTTTTGCCTGATCAGCAAAGCTCGTGCGTTTTTTTTAATCCTCTACGGAATCACTTGGCAGATGTTATTCTCTGTGAGTTGCCGACTGACTGACATGTCCACCAAAAATTATTTATTTCGGCATGCGAAACAAGAAGCCATCAGGTGAGCAAAGTCCATGAGGACTCTCTCTCTCTTTCTTCAGTCTCTACTTTGTTTCCGCTTCGTTCTCTTTGTCCTTTTCTTTTATATTATTTTGTTTTTTTTTCTTCTTTATTTTTTTAATCTATTTTTTTTCCTTTTATCTTTTCTGGTTTATTTTTCCTATTCTTCGTTTTCTTTTATCTTTTTCATTTTTTTCAATTTCGTTTTTTTTTTTTTTTCTATTTCGTTTTTTTTCCTGTTTCGTTTTTTTTTGTTTTTTTTTTTGCTATTTTCATTTTCTTTTTACTTTTTCTTATTTTTCTTTAGTTTTCCCATTTTTCTTCTTAATTTCTATTCTATTTCCTTTCATCTCCTTTTAGAATTTTTTTCTTGCTTTGTCTTTCTTTAAATTTATTCTTTTTTCTTCAATTTCATTTTATCTTCGTTTTTCTTCTTTTCTAATTGTTCCTGTTTCTTTTTTCTTTTTTTATCTTTTTCTTCTATTTCCTTTTCTACTTTCTTTCTTTTTATTCACCTTGGCTAAATCTTTAAGATTCTCTCAAGCAAAGCAGACATAACGGGAAGACAGGACTGAGAGGTTTAACGTCGAGCAAGCGTCAAAGGCGTTAAAAAGCGTGGGAGACGCCATTTGTCTCGGATGTCATATAATCTCATCACAAAGCACGTGAATTATAGCGATGCGGGGCACACACACGATAAAGCCATAGTGGAAGAAAATCCGTATAAACGTCCATTTTTGTGTCTTTCTTTTGCTCGGCTACCGTTTCTGCGTTCACTTTCTCTACATATCACACACACACACTGTCTTTCTCTCTCTCACTCTCTCTCTCTCTCTCAATCACATCCACTTCTCTTTCTCTCGCACACTCTCATTTTTGACTCCCTCAATTTCCCTCTAATGTTTACTTTCAATTCCACAAATTCTGTCTCTCTTTCAGTCTCCCTCGCCTTCACTCTCTCAGTTTTCATTTTTCTTCTCTCACTCTTTCCATCTTTCATATCACACACTTAATTTCGCTTCATCAGTTTTATTCTCTCTCATTCTCACCCACTCTTTACCCTTCGTCTAATTCTTTCTTTCTTTCTTATTGTACAATATTCTCTTCCGTTTTTTTATCTTTGCTGCTGCATTAACTCTATAAGTATATATATATATATATATATATATATATATATATATATATATATATATATATATATATAAATATATATATATATATAAATATAGTCTTAAGATGTGCTATATTTATGGGATAAAGTGCTCAATATCAGAGATAGAGCGTGTGTAAATATAAAAGTGAACATAGAAGTAAACACTTAGAGGCGACAGTCTGTTTCATGCTATATGCAATCGTCAGGCCACATATGCTGTTATTTTTCTCGGCTATTTATATATATACGGGTTAGTGGTGCATTGTGGGTATTCTATTATGGCGGTTATTTTTACCGGAAGTCGCTTTGTTTATTTATTTGGGTCAAATTATATTGCTCGTTTTTATTTTTTTTGTTTCTTATTTTATTTATTTATTTATTAACGTAGTAAAAATTTGTTTATATCACGTATTTAACAGTTTTGTTTTGATTTGAGAATTTAATTAAAGCTATTTGTTCAATTTTGGGGTTGGTTGTTGTAGTTCATTCTGACTATTATTTTTTTGGCGAGAACAGTTTTTAATTTGGGATTGGTTTGTCTATTTACTTCGATGAATTTAGGTCAATTTATTTGTATATTTTCTCTTTTCGGTTTTCGGTTTTTAAGCAACATAGTATTTATTTTATTTTATTTTATTTTATTTTTTATTAGTGTATTTGTTTGTTTTTATTTTATTTTTTCTGTTTTTCATTTTTTAGGTTACGTAGTAAAAATTTATTTTCATGCCTGCATTTTGAAATGAGCTCGGATCGTTTATTTAATAATTTATTTTGGTCGGGGAAAGTAATGATAGCTATTTTTTCCTCCAAGCAAAGTTTGCAAGTTTTTGATTGGTTTTTGTAGGCTGATGACTTTTCCTTATCTTCCAAGATATATATATATATATATATATATATATATATATATATATATATATATATATATGTGTGTGTGTGTGTGTGTGTGTGTGTGTGTGTGTGTGTGTGTGTGTGTGTGTGATAAACTGGTTTGGTTAAATAATTTAGACGTATTTTGTCTATTTATTTAAAAATACAATTAAGTAAAAAATAAAATTAATCATATACTAATTTAATTTATAAAAAACATTTGAAAAATATTTAATAATAAATTAATTAAAAAATAAAATTAATTATTAAGCATACTAAATTTATTATTAAACATATAACTTAAAAATAGATTCTAAATAAATTTAGTTTTAAAATATTTTCAATACTAAATTTAATTTTAAAATATTTGAAAATAAAATTAATTAAAAGCATAAAATTAATTATTATACTATACTAAATTCAATACAACCAACCTAATCATCCAAAACAATTATTTTCCGTCAAATAGCCTCTTACAAAAGATCAACATTCTATATCACTTTAAATATTATTTGGATGATTGCATCTCTGATAAACATATTAATATATATGTTGGTTTTACAACGACGACGTCGACGAAACGGCTTACGTTTCACTTGAATGAGCAATCTCAGTACATTTAAAGGAACACTCGGGTCCACATTCAAAGTTTAAACAGATATTAGTTGAAAATACATTAGTAATTCATCAAAATAGAATCAGTAAAGTCCTTAAATGTTTGTAGTAGCAACGTTTTATATAATAATACTAAATTAAAATATTATAATGAAAAATCTTTTCCTTTTTTAAATTTCAAAAGTTACCTCCCTTGCAAAACTGAAAAATGGAGAAAAAAAATTGAAACGCTGTAAACGAACAGTGAAAAATATTTTGAATTTACAGAGCTACTGTATATACATCTACAGATATTTAAACCTTCTGAAGATGGTCTCAGATGGGATTGAAAGTACTTAGTAGTTTTAGCCCCCATTGGTACGTAAGATCATTCCCTTGTCAGTGTAAAAGCCTATGACTTCCCCGATTTACCGTTCCAGAGTCCTATGCGACGGAAGCTCCTTTCCCAAATTTCTTTAAAAAATCCTCCTCCCCACCATCAAACTGCAGCCCTAAGCTCCGTATAGACAAAAAAATATTCCAACAAAAACCAACGAGTCGGCCTTGGTTCACCCTTGAATTCGCTACAGCCATAGATCACCGGAATCACTACTTCAAAATCTATCGCAAGGAACGGCGTAGTCTGTCCCTTACTTCTTTCAAGACAGCCCACAATTTCTCTGCGAGAATCCTGGAAAACGCAAAATGATTCTACGCGCGATCTGTCCAGATCAAGGTTGAAAATGAACAAATTGGATCTGGAAGATCACCAAACTAATTACGAACAGAGGTAAAGCGAATGTGCCCACCATTATAAATGGCCTCGAAGTCATATCCTCCTCGACAGACAAGACGAAGCTCTTCACCTCGATCTTTGCCTCAAACTTAACGTTAATGACAAAGGCCACTCCCTCCCCAACATCCCACGTCTCAGTGAGCACAATCTCAGTAAGATATTCATTTCAGCAAGAGAAGTATCTAGATATATAAAAAAAAACCACGACCTCCCAAAAAGCCACAGGCCAATCAAAATTCCAGTGGTCGTCCTTAAGAATATCAACCTAGAATTATTTCCGATTCTAGCAAAGTTATTTAACCGCTGCTTGAAGGAGAAATCTTTCCGAAGGACGTGGAAGGTGGCAAGCGTATGCCCGGTCTTCAAGAACGCAGGCAATCGATCCTCACTCCCAGTATAGACCCATTAGTTTCTTTAGTATCACCAGTAAGCTTTTTAAGGCCTTAATCAACAAGAAGGTCGTTGAGCACCTGGATAGGAACAAACTCTTGTGCGACGAGCAGTATGGGTTTCGATCAGCCGGATCCAAATCTGATGCCCTAACTACCATAGCACATTGAATTAGTGAGGTCCTTGACGACACACATACCACAGGGACCATAGCATTAGATATCTCCAATGCCCTAAACAAGGTATAGAACAAAGGTTTGTTACACAAGCTCTCCAGCTATGGAATCACTGCAAGGCTTTTATTATAAAATCTTTCCTAACAGGTAGATCCCTGAAGGTAGTTATTAACAGCCAGTTCTCCGAGGCACTGGCGGTCAACGTAGGCGTCCTCTAACCATCATTTCATGGACCAACCCGCTTTCTGATTTGCATAAATGATCTCCCTAAGAATATACCCGATTATTTGCAAGTGTCTATGCCGATGATATGACTATATAGAGGCTCACCTCTAAAATTCTAGACAGTCAGGGATTGGCGACGGAATTCTCTAGTTACGTTAAATGCCTCAAAAACTAAGCTATCACCCGCGATTAGACCCCGAACTACCGCCAGTCACTATGAGCGGATGTTCCCACGAGGCCTTGAGAGGATATTGAACCTCAAATTCACACTCGATCTCAAGTTGTATTCCTATATACAATCCATCGCTAAAGATGCAGGTAAAATGATCGGCTCCATGTAACGCTCCAGTAAGCACCTGACTCCTCGTGCTATCCTCTACCTTTATAAGAGCCAGGTCAGGCCGAAAATGGAGTTCTATTGCCCAGACCTCACTGTACAATCTTAACAGAGTTCAAAAGCGTCTCTGATTCCTTGTGGGAGAAGTATTTTCCTCACTCCAACCTCTCTCTCTCTCTCTCTCTCGCAGGCGGGATGTGGCTAGTTTCGTACTGCTCTATTGCTTCAACCAAGAAAAGTGCTCAGACGAACTGCATCTCCTAGTTCCACCACGTCTGATCTTTACGGTGAGCACCCCTCATACCACTTACGTAGTAACAACCCTCCCTCCACGTTCCCTCTGTATTCTATAGGTGAGAAGTAATTTCCGCTTAAGCAGATTCTTAACAGAACAGACTCCAAAGAGGATGTTTCCCCGATCACTACAATCTTAACCTGTTCAAGTTTAGAGTCAAGAGTTATCTTCCCCTCCTATCCATATAAACTACAACCTAACGTAATCCGCTACCTCGAGTGGCCCTCGGGCCTTATACATATGTGTGGGGGGGGGCACCTCGAGCTGATGCAATGGCTAGCAAGCTTTTCTCGCTAGTACAATTACGAATGAGTAGTGACTCCGATGCTCACTGGGTGCCCCTTAATTTCGGCCTTGTGCCACATCCAAGCTACGCCTGGAAAATCACTATATATATGCGCGTGTGTGTGTTAATAGAGATAGATCTGTTTCAGTCATTCACTTTGACAATGTTACTATCACTCACTCTCACTCTCTGAATTTATCTCTCAGTCTTTCTATATTTTATATCACTCTCTTCCTCTCTCTCTCTCTCTCTTCCTCTCTCTCTCTCTTCCTCTCTCTCTCTCTCTCTTCCTCTCTCTCTCTCTCCCGTTCTTTGTATCATTTTGTCTTTTTCTATGTTTCATCGCACTCTTTCTCTCTTTCTACCACACGTTCTCTCAATTTTTTTTTTTTTTCAATTTCTCTCTCACGGTTTATCTCTTTCAATTTGTCTCTCACTCTTTCTATCGTTCATCTCATTCTCTCACTCTTTCTCTCTTTCTATTTCACTTTCTCTCATTCTGTCTCTCTTCAATCGCATTCTCTCTCTCACACACTCCCACGCACTCTTTCACTTTCGTCTAATTATTCTTTTTTTCTTTTTTTAATTTCTCGTTTTTATTGTTCCTTCGGTTTTCAGTTTTTCTGTATTTGCCATTACTTTAATTCTCTCACCACACACACACACACACACACACACACACACAGCGCCCCCCCCCAAACCCAGCCCCCATATATATATATATATATATATATATATATATATATATATATATATATATATATATATACCGGTGTAACAGCAAAATTGCGCAAATCGTGTTACTGTATAATCCACAGAAAAGGTTTAATATCTAAAAAAAAAACACTAAACTAATTGAGGTTTCATTTTTGCAGGTTTTCAGATAAGACGTCTAGCCATCTTGATACCAAGAGGTCGTAAGAATCACATGGAATATCCTTTGGATTTTTCAGCTAGAAAGAGAACAGGTTAAAATTGTTTTGTACGACTTACGAAAAAAACAAGCGCCTCTCATAAGACTAAGGTAACACAAGCATGGCTGCAAGATAATTTTCGTCATGATGTTCTCCCAAACACATAGTCTTCTAGATCGCCAAACCTGAAACCACTGTACGACTAGGTATAGGGCGTAGTCAAGAAAGAGGTCAGTCAACGGCTACTTAGCCCCATAAAATGACAATAATCCCATAACCAAGACTATGTACTACAGCCGCAGCAAAAGTGGTGTCTCTTGGGCAAGATAGCCTGATGGAGCCCAATCCTCTCCAGGCTGGTTTGAATTCAGAGTTTTCCTTCCCCTAGACAAGTTGCAACCCAAGCCTATAGAATCCAATATGTTCTGCTATATACCCATAGATGTGGGGAGAAGAGATTGATTCATAGCGTAAGTGAATGTAATGATCTCGACTGGAATTCGATGTGGGCTCTCCGATTCAAACAAGCCACAACACATTACTCCACCGTGCCTCTCCGCGTCTGTCTGTCCCTCTTCCCCCTCTCTCTCTCTCTCTCTTATATATATATATATATATATATATATATATATATATATATATATATGAAGAAATATAATCTTAAGGTGTGCTATATTTATGGGATAAAGTGCTTGATATCAGAGATAGAGCGTGTGTAAATATAAAAGTGAACATAGAAGTCAACACTTAGAGGCGACAGTCTGTTTCATGCTATATGCAATACTGTTGCCTCTAAGTGTTGACTTCTATGTTCACTTTTATATTTATATATATATATATATATATATAAAGAAATAATCATACATAGAATCAATCAGCAATATTAATGCGATTAATGGCGAAATTACTTCGCTAGTAGAACATAATGTATGCATTAAAATACTGTTAATCCGTTGAATGATGTGATCCTCATTTATAAAACTGTTGTCAGATGTTTCTAGTGTATATTTTTTTAAGTTAAGCAAGTACTTTCGAAGACCATGTCTCCATCATCAGGCTGTAATTTTTTTCCTTCAAGGTTAAAACTTGAAGACGAAATAATTGTTTGTAGACCGAAAGATGTTATTTTAAGAATGTGCTATTTATTGACGGTTTTACAATCTCGGAACGTGCTAGTAGCAACGCTAAAGTTCAAAATTTCAAGTTAGAATTTTTATATGAACTTTGTAATATGGTAAATCCACGAATTATGTTCTACTAGCGAAGTGATTTCGCCATTAATCGCATTAATATTGCTGATTGATTCTATGTATGATTATTTCTTTATATATAAAATATATGCTGCCTAACATATATATATATATATATGTGTGTGTGTGTGTGTGTGTGTGTTGAGGAAGTTTTTTCATAAAATGGTAATCTATTTAAAAGAGAAAATACTTCACTAAGGCGAAAATATCTAGGATGTAGTTAAACACTAGTTCAGACACCAAATTTACGTCCAGGTACTTACGACGTGTTGCCATTCTTGGCAGATATCCTGCTATCACAATGTGGGATATTTAAAAACAAAGTTGATGGAAAGAAAATGAACATAGATTAATTAGGCTAGGCAGTAAAAAATATTCAAAATGATTATTTTAAAATTTTGAAACTGCCAGCGTCTCTTGTTCATGTCTATGTGTAATAATAATAAAGGCACCACACCCAGTCCGGTGAAGTGGTAAAGGATAAAACGCATCACAAATAAAATGTTTCCATTTCGTCTTATAATTTCCTCAATATTGTCCTTTATATATAAAAATATACATCGCTATCTCATAACATATATATATATCTATATATATATATATGTTATGAGATAGCGATATAGATAGATAGATAGATAGATAGATAGATAGATAGATAAGCACACACGAAATCACACATATTAGCATACATATAACTTTGACATGTTCACGCAAATTTTTCCATTTCGTCTTATAATTTCCTCAATACTTTCCTTGATATATAAAAATATATATCGTATCTCATAACATATATATATATATATATATATATATATATATATATATATGTTATGAGATATATATATATATATATATATATATATATATATATATATATATATACATACATACATAGATAAGCACACACGAAATCGCACATATTAGCATACATATGACTTTGACATGCTCACGCAAACACGCATTCATATCTGATGCAGACGCAAGTAGATTGGCTTGCGCATGTATGATATCTTGTATATTTTTGCGAGTTGAGAGAGTTCAGTTCTCACTGTGTTCCCCATTTAAGTGTCACTGTATCAAACTAAGTTAAGCGTAATAAAAATCGCAACCCTTGTCTAGATGCAACAATTAACAATACATTTCCGCAGCCGATTACATCTGTAAAGAGTTTGGTTTTTACTGCTTGTTTTATGCAACATTGGGCTAAAGTAAAGTTATCTTTTTGAGCAGCTGTAAGCAACTGAAAGAAAACAAGGGAAAGGATGCTGATATCTGCCTTATTATATGGCAGTGAGTGTTGGGAGATCACATCAGAAAAGAAGATATGAACCAACAAAAATGTGGTTCTACAAAAGGACGAGCCCAAAGTGCCAATTGCTAATATGGGATACAAGCAAGGGCGGAAATTTAAATATCTGGGAAGTGTTTTAACAGAGGATGGAAAAAGCAACAGTGAGATCCGAAGGTGTATTGGGAGAGCCAAGGATTCATTCCAAAACTAAACAAAGTGCAAAGAAATAGGAAAAGTTCTCTAGAAACAAGTAAAAGAGAACGAAACTTCTATGTGATATCTGTCCTTCTATATTGCAGTCAGTATTGGAAGATTTCCTCAGAGATGAAGAAGATGTTTGAGGCAAAAGAAATTTTGTTCTACAGAAGGATGCTTAGGATACCATGAACCGAACATGTGAGTAACGACGAACTTTTGGAGAATATGGAAACTAAAAGCTAACACTTAACATCAGGAAGAGATAGTTGAGGTTTTTGGGGCACATAATGAGGACGGAGGGCTTGGAAAATCTAATACTCACAGATCAAATAGAAGGCAGGGGAAACAGGGGAAAGCAACGTATAAGTTACTTAATAAGCGTGGGTAAATGGATGGTAGGACAGGGTTTAGGAGAAATATCAGAAACAAAGTTTGTTAAAAGCTACAAGAGATAGGAAATTGTGGAGAGCCATTATCGCCAACGTCATGGGTCACAGCAAATAAAAACGATTTTATTCTTGCGTTGTACTTAGCTCAGCTTTTTAAATGACTCTACAAGGTAATATTCAAAGCAACACACACACGTACACACAAAGTATGTTCAGGGTTTTATCCTTAAACAGCCTTGGCTTTGTAAAAGTACCTCTTTTTGGAGAGAAAAAGAAATAAAATGGCTGTCGGAGAAAATGTTGTCAATTGAGAACAGGACTTCAGAAGAGAGACGAAACAAACAAAACTCAACAAGTGGCAGCAATCAAGAAATCGAACCCAAGCAGCCATTGAACAAGAAGTCAAGCGGCAACTTGGCAGTCAATTAGATAAACGTGATGCAATAAAGGGAATTTTTTTTTCTATTGCTTCTTATATTATTATCAGTTTCAAATGCTTTCTTTTATTATCTTCACTTTTTTTCCTTTTATATTTCTCTTCAAACTATTTTTTTTTACCTTCTTTATTTTACGTTTTTAATTTTGTTTTCCCCTGGGCTTTTCTTTCTTTTATTGTCCCTTCATTCATTTCATTTTTCTTTTCTTTTTCTATTTATTTGTTTATTTCATTTGTTTTCCTTCCTTCTTTTTATTGATTCTATCTTGTTCTAGTTTTTTTTCTTTTTTTTCTTTTTTTTTTTTCTTTTTTCTATTCTTTTTTCGTTTCTATTTCCTTTTATATTTCTTTTTCTATCTTTTCTAGTTTTCGGTTATCTCCCTTTTTCATTTTTCTTTTCCTATCTTTTCTGTCTTTTTTTCACTTTTTTTTTTTTTTTACTTTTATCGTTCTTCTTCCTTTGCCCATTAATTTTGTTTTTCTTCTTCCTTTATCTTTTCTTCCTTTTTTCTTTCTCTCTTTTTCTCATTCTTCTTTCTTTTTTCTGGCTTATCTTCCTCCTTTCTTTTAACGTCTTTTTCTAATTTTTTCTGTTTTCTGCTTTTCTCTTTCTATTTTTTTTAGCTTCATTCATTTGTTCTTTCCTATATTTTCTTTCATCTTTTTCAACTCTCTATTCTTAACTCTCAATCTTTGTTCTTCTTCATTTCTGTTACACATTTTCGCTCTTAATTCTTCATTCTCCTTTTCGTCTTTCATTACTAAATTGTATTTCTTTTCAGTTATCAGTCATTCACTCTGTTTGTGTGTTTCTTTCTTTCTTTTATCTTTATAGATGTTACTCCCTATCTTTTCACTATTCCTTTTTATTTCTCCCTAATATCGACTGTTTTTTCTCTTTTAATAACATCTTTCTCTTTTATGTTTTCTCCCCTCTTTTAATATCTTCATTTCTTTCGTTTTTTTCCCCTCGACGGAAAATATCCATCTCTCTATTTGTAATTTTTTTTTCTTCCTAGGATTTCATGCTGTCACGACTCCAGCCGTTAATTCAGTGCGTGGTGGCTTAACGACTGTTCGAATAGCGCGATCCGCACACAGAGGCCCAGAAACCCTTTAGTTCTTCTCCAGTCGAACTGCAAAGGTTTCTTTCAATCACAAACCAGATATCCGTGCGTTCTGCTTGTCTACATGCAAATCCTGCGGCCTCCCGAACGCCTACCCGGACCCTTTTCACACATACCCGCGCGCCTGTCCGTGCGCACACACGTATACAAAGAAATCTCTCGAGAGAGAGACTTAGGCGCGTAGAGAAAACGATCACATTCGCTCGCTACACAGATATGCATCACTCCAACTCGGCGCACATGCCAACCCGCATGCTCGGCCACAGCTCTGAAACTCGCCCACACGTTTCAACTCCACGCACACGTATACAGCTATCAAACTTCTGCGAGTGTAAAGGTGGCTCGATGTCCGTAACCTGACACCAAGTTATTAACTGCATATTCAAGTGAAATTTGCAGCGGACAATGATCAATCTATGTAGTTGATATTCAATGGAGCATTTACAATGTTGAAAAATGAATATGATATTTGGAGGGAAAAAAATACGCTTTAGAAGAAAGGAGTTAAAAACAAATTTAAGTTTATTTAAATCTTATTAATCCAAAATAGTTTTTGAGGCTATTGGCGGCTCTGATCAAAAATGGTTGTAAAAATTAGTGGAGGCACTGGGGAGTAGTGGCTCGTCCTGATGATTGTGAAATCGTTGAGCTGAGTTCGAATTCAAGTCATTACATTCACTTGCGTGTTAATACCCTTGGGGATCGTCCGTCTCTCTCCCTCCTCCCAGCTATGGGCAAATAGCAGGACATACTGTGTCTTATAGCCTTGTTTGGCACGAACGGGTGTATATCCATCTGTATATATTTCTTTACATGAGAAATCGCTGAAATCATAATATATTTTTATTATAGGCTATAAGATATCACTGAAGTCACGATATATTTGTATTATAGGCTTGAAGACATCGCTCGTCATGATATATATTATATTATAGGCTCGAAGATATTGCTGAAGCCTAGATATTTTTTTTTATTATAGGCTTGACGATATGGCTGAATTCAAGATATATTTGCATTTCAGGCTTGAAGCTATTGCTGAAATCATCATATATATTTTATTAGAGGCTTGAAGATATCGCTGAAGTCATGATATATATTTTATTAGAGGCTTGAAGATATCGCTGGTCATGATATATATTTTATTAGAGGCTTGAAGATATCGCTGAAGTCATGATATATATTTTATTAGAGGCTTCAAGATATCACTGAAATCAAGATAAATTGCTATTATAGTCTTGATCGCTGAACTCAAATATTTGTTTTATTGTCTTGAAGATATCGCTGAAGTCATGATATATTTGTATTATAGGTTCAAAAATATCGGTGAAGTCATGGTGTCCCTTTTGTATAGGCTCCTTGAAGACATCAAGATGGCGATATGCTTCATTAAAATTATTCTTTCATTTACTGACTATCATGGTGTGTACATTTTGCCACACAGTTACACTCTTAGAGGTTAGAGAATATCTTAGTCATCCTAGTCATTATTATTTCAGATGCTTACTAAAATGTTATGGTCTGGCACAAGACCAAACATGCTAAAATTTATTATAAATAAATAACTTTTTTTTCAAACAGCCTTGTATCAGAATACGCTAAAATTAATAAGGAGAATAAACACAGTTGCCTGATTGATTTCGTAGGCATTTCTTTTAAGATACATAACGTTGCCTCCACCACAGTTATACACCCAGTCTACCCTGCTATTTAACCAGTAGCTAGAGAAGAAGATACATATTCATGCTATTGCTAATGGCAGTAGTGCATCGTGAATGCAATAGATTAAAATGGAATTCGAAATGAATTCGATGATGACACTTACCCCGCCACCGAACGCACTCCAAACTTCATCCTCTTTATATTTCTTTAAATTCTGATTTAAATCGAATAAAAGTTACATCATGTGTAGAACAGTTTGTAATTTGATGTAAAATATAGTCCATTTGGCGGTCACCCGAAAAGACAGCACTGATAAAAAATTGTTATAATTTAATATCTTTCTATCTATCTATTTATCTATCTATCTATATATATATATATATATATATATATATATATATATATATATATATATATATATATATATATATATATAACCCAAACCCAAAAGCCGGACAAACCTACCATGGTTTCACCTACGAGGATCGTCAGGAAAAGCCAGATTTCTCTGAAGACCCGCTTAGGTGAAACCTTGGTAGGTTTGTCTGGCTCTTTAGGTTTAATGAGGTCTGCTCTACTTAACGTATTAAGCACTTTATTTAGTCATTTTGCTTACTCGTATCGGTTTTTTTTTCTTTGGATTTGAACTTTGATGCTAGACGATTATTTTCGGCTGACGTGCATGTACTTTGTTCTTTCCTTTTTTATACCATTTTTTCCCTTTCGTATTGGCGAAGGTTTTCCGGACAAGCATAAGTTTTTTATAGTTATAAGATTATTACTAGCATATATATATATATATATATATATATATATATATATATATATATATATATATAATTAGGGATATGGATAAGCAGTTCCCAAAAAAGATTCTGACAATGATTGCACACTGGAAAAAAGAGCGTTAATATCTGATGATTGCGTGAAATCTCCTGAAACTGGCAGTCGTGGTCGGTCACTGCCCACTTGAAATTTGTCTTTATACATATATATATATATATATATATATATATATATATATATATATATATATATATATATATATATATTGCTTTATGGTTTGAACGGTTTGATGCATACCAAGTTAGCTTATGAGAATGTGTAGTAGTTTTGTACGCAAGACAAGAAACTACATTTTTTTATCGTATTTTTATGGATGCTATCACCTAAATAGCACGAGCATTCATGTACAGTATTGTTTTTTATGTATAAGTTATATCTTAAAATCTATGTTTTTTATTTATGATATATGGAGGGAGTGTGATAAGCATCAATAAGTTTCTAGCTTAATGATGAAAATATTTTATATGACAATTATATATTTTTTCAACTTAATCTCCATCTTTGTCAATGCACTTGCTTCCAGAGTGGGTCAGCTAGATCGAATATTGAATATTAGTAATATATAATTTTATATCAAAATTCAGGTAACTGAGTTACGAGTAAGGGATCTGCGACTAGTAAACATTATAATATTAGCAAAACTGGTGACATACATACATATATATATATATATATATATATATATATATATATATATATATATATGTGTGTGTGTATGTATGTATGTATAAATATATATACACTCGACTCTCCCGTCCAATTCGACATATGATGGTCAATTAGATCCGTTTCTAGGAACCAACAGCCCGACATCAGCACATGAGATTTGACTATAGTAGTGAAGGTTGTGTGCAGAACCATCCAGACTTTTTGAAGCGCCGAATACAGAAATCTATTGCACTACGTGCCACAAGGTCTCCAAACGACCCTCCGCAGGTTTTGAATTCAGTGTTGTCCTTCTCGTAGTCCAGTTGCCATCCAAGCCAGTCTTCCCTGCTATTTACCCATAGCTGGAGGGAGAAGAAGAGGATTCATACCTTTCCCAAGGGTATTAGCACGAATTAGATTTGAATTCGAACGCGGCTCTCCGATTCCTCAATACAAGCCGCTAACCATTACTCCACCGTTCTATCCCATAAAAAATCACTTCTTCCGTCTGTACCGGAGCGACATGTCTAATCGCAACAGGCATCTTTTCGTCTCTGCTTCGTAATGAGTACAAACGTGTCGTTAATGTAGCACAGATACTGCTCGCTGATAGAATGAAACAACGTATTTCATCTTGAAAGTTTGGTTCTAAAGATTATTGGTGGCTCTACAAGAGTGTGCTTAAATGCAGCAAATGCGTAATTTCTCCTCTATTCAATCAATTTGAAGTCCTAACATCTTCAGCTGTTAAGGCTAGATGCTTTACTCGGAAATTGTCATCCAATTCAGCACTCGAATAGTCCGGAGTACCCACACCTTATTTTCTCCTTATACTCGAGGCTATAACCAAGTTACCGTGCATAATCCCGTGGATGGTATTCGACATCATCTCTACATTAGACTCTCATAAAGCAAATGGTGATGACGGGATACCAGCCGTAGTCCTAAAGAAATGTGCTCCCGAGCTGGCTCCTGTTCTTTCAAAACTATACAACTATTGCCTCGCCGATTCTTGCTTCGCATCTGTTGCCCCTGTCTTTAAAAATTCAGGAGATCCTTCTGATCCCTCTAACTACCATCCTATCAGTCCCCTACCACTCTTCGACAAAAGTCTTTGAGACTTTAATCAATGCGAATTTGTTAAGTAACTCACCTTCCACGATCTGCTCTCTAACAAACAATATAGTTTCCGCTTTGCCCTGCCTAACGCTAATGTTTGTACGGACTTAACTGGATATTTATACCAACGTCTTGATAATAAAACGGCGAAGCTTGAGCTGTTGCTCTAGATATATCGAAGGCGTTTCACAAAGTTTTGCATGCTGGCCTTTTACGTAAGCTACGGTAAGGGACACGGTATTACAGGATGATTATTTGATTTAATCTAGTCATTCCTGTCTAAACTGTGAAATGAAGTTTGTCCTGGGCGGGTTCTCTTCTAGTTCCTTTCATACGAACGCTGGTGATCCTCAAGGCGCTATCCTTGATCCTACACTGTTTCTGATCTTCATCAATGATCTTCCTGACGTCCTCAGTTCTCAAGTAAGCATCTACGCAGACGACACTACTATTTACTCCTGTCTCAATAGTAAATCCGGCATTGAGGACAAAGTTAGCCTTTCCGTTGGTCTCGAAAACGACCTCCAAGCTGTGGTTGACTAGGACAGGAAATGGTTTGTGAATTTTAATTCACCCAGAATGAAACTGCTGTTATTAACTCAATATAGAGAAACATCCCTGCCTCGTATCAACATGGTTGATGCTCAACTCAACGAGAGCATCCCACACCGCCCTCTTGGCCCCATGTTTTCCACAGACATGAGGTGGAACAATTACATTGAATCAACAGCACCATCTAGCGCAAGGAAAGTTGTTTCTCAGTGTCGCACCCGAAGGTTTTTCTAGTCTGAGTCCATCCTCCACATCTATAAATCTATCATTTGTCCATGCATAGAATACTGCTGCCATATATGGTCTGATACGCCCGTTGTTCATCCGAGGTTTTCGACAAAATCCAAACACGGATACGCAATGCGATCGGTACTGACTTGTGATCTCGACTCCAGTCACTATCTCAGTGACGTAATGTGGTTTCCTCCTGTCTTTTCCACAAATATTTCCATGGCATCTGCTCTGATGAGCTATTTTCACTGGTGTCCCGACTGCAGGAATTTAAGCCTGCTACTAGATTGGAATCT